CAATCGAGGCAGGTCCGAACATAATGCTTCACGGCAGCGGTGAGTCGTGGCCAGTAATACCTCCCTCGAACTCTGCCCAGTGTGTGCGTGTAGCCTAAATGTGCAAATGTTACCTTGTTGTGGCACGCTTGCAATACCTCAGAACGAAGAGTGGTAAAGACGACAAGCAGGTAGGTGGACCCGCCTGACGAGAAGTTCATTATGTAAAGGACATTGTTTGACAGACAGAACGACGGTAGTGCTCTTTCAGAGGCTTTGGGCGCATTCTGGCTTCGTCCTTTTCAATAATAAATCAAGCCAAGTATGTCAGGATTGTCAGTTTGGTGATCTGCGATTATTAACGTATCGAGGATTCCGAAGAATGCTGTCTCTTCATCAAAAAAGCAGCCGACTCTATTGGTGATCGAAATAAGCAGTCGGCGTCCGTGTGTCGTTTTCCCGTCTTATACACCATCGTTGTATCAAACTCCTGTAGTCTAAGGCTCCAACGTGCGAATCGGCCGGAAGGATCTTTCAAACTTGTTAACCAATACAACGAATGGTGGTCACTGATAACCTTGAATGAGCGGCCGTACAAGTATGGGCGAAATTTCATAACTGCCCACACCACAGCCAGGCATTCATTTTCAGTGGTCGAGTAATTTGCGTCTATGCATGACAGAGCAATCACTCTTTTCTTGTCGTCCAGGCATTGCACAAGCACAGCTCCGAGGCCAACATTGCTAGCGTCAGTATGGAGCTCTGTAGGGGCTGTCTCATCAAAATGGTCAAGCACGGGGGTAGTGTGTACACGTTGCCACAAGTCATTGAAAGGAGCTTTATGTTCGTCACCCCAAAGAAATGCAACGTCATTCCTTATAAAGCAAGCTAAAGGCGACGCAATGCGTGCAAAATTTGGAATAAACCACCGATAATATGCACAGAAACCCAGGAAACGTCTCACTGCCTTTTTATCTGGCGTTGAATACTGTGCAACTGGCGGCAACCTTCTCGGGATCTGGATGAACTCCTGCGTAACTGACGACATGGCCAAGAAACTGCAGTTCCTCAAAGCAGAAGTGACTATCCTCTGGCTTGAGCGTGAGGCCTGCGGTCCATATGGCCTGCAAGACCATTTGCAATCGTTCAAGGTGTTCGTCAAACGTTGTAGAAAACACCATGACGTCGTCAATCTATACTAGGCAGGTTCTTCATTTAAGCCCGAAGATAACGGTATCCATGAGACGCTGGAAAGTAGCAGGCGTGGAGCACAAAGCCAAATGATAAAACCTTAAATTCGGACAGTGCGTCTGGCGTTACGAAAGCAGCTTTTTTACAATCCTTGGGGTCGACTTCAATTTGCCAATATCCGCTCGTTAAGTCCATGGAAGAGAAGTAACCTGCGTTTCGTAGCCTGTTGCTGGAATCATCTATGCGGAGAAGCGGGTACACGTCTTTTTTTGTCCCCTGATTTAGCTTTCGATAGTCCACACAGAAACGCACGCTACGTCCTTCTTGGCTAGAACAAAAGGTGATGCCCAAGGGCTTTTCGACGGTCGAATGACGTCGTCTTCAAGCATTTTTGGTACTTGCTGTTCTATCGCTTCTCATTCTTTTGAAGCCACACGGTACGGATTTTGATGGATTGGTCTAGCCGTGTCCTTTGTGATGATTCGGTTCTTGGTCAAAGACGTCCGGCCAACTTTCGAGGTCGACGCAAAACAGCCGTGGTACTCAGCTAGCAGCACAAGCTGGCGTTCCCGGTGTTGCAAAATTAAAGTAGGGCAGACGCCAAGGTTAGGTGCTAGGTCATGTGGGTCTTGCATAGGTGTTGCTTTGAGTGCCGAAAAGCAGTCACAAACATCTGCGATCTCGTCCAAACGTGCCAAAGTTGTGCCTTTTGGAAGGTGCCGTCGCTCGGAGGTCAACAGCAAGTTCGTTCGGCCGTCGGTGACATTGACTATTCTTCGTGATACGGAAATTCCGTGAGTTAAAAGCAGTGAGGTTAGTTGGTCGGCGACTCCTTCACCGTCGATTAGTATGTCACTTGCTACTGTAACGAGGGTACATAGTCGACGTGGCACGACTATATTGTGGTCTTTGAGACGAAAGGGCTTGTGCTCTGGTACCCTGGTACGGCGACCATCGTACCCTGGCTGAGACGGGCGAAGCGATGTGTCGCGGTACCAACAATAGTGAGTTATAAGGCCGGAAACACCACAGTTGAAGCAGAGAGGGCGCCGATCGACAGTGCGCCAAGCGTCAGTTCTTCGAAATCGTGGGCGTCCCATGTCCTCTTGTGGTAGTGAGTAAGGCGAGGCAAGTGTTGGCTGGTGGCATAAAGACATCTGAGACATGGGCCGACGTCTGACAGCCGCCTGCAATGGTTGCGACGAAGGTGCGGTTGTAGGTGGCTGGTAGTATGATGTAATACGCGAGACGGGTGGCGGACGGCGGACAGCGTCGGCGTAACTCAATTGACGCTGCTCGCGTCCGAGATAAGCTGCTGAAAAGGCGTGCCTAAATTCGTTACAAACGACTGCGGCAATGGCGGTCACTGGTGTATCGACTGGAGGAGTCCAAAGCTTCTGAATTTCTTCTCGGACAATATCTCTGATCAGGTCACGTAGGAAACCCTGATTGTCCAGAGTCACTGAAGCGGCGTTGATTGGGGTGGTAGTTGACGAGCGAATATACTGCCTCGATGTTTGGTGCAGAGCACGCTCAATGGCAGTGGCTTCTCTTATAAAATCGGCCACGGTAGTTGGGGCATTGCACACAAGTCTAGCGTACAGTTGTTGATTCACGCCGCGCATAAGGTAGCGCAACTTCTTTTCCTCGGACATATTGAAATCAGCCCGACGACGTAGGCGCGTCACGGCTTCAGCAAACATTTCTACAGTTTCGTTACGTTTTTGAAGCCTTAACTCGAGCAACTGCTGAGCAAAGGTGTCAAACAGCTGCTGAAAAAACTCATCCCGTGTTGATATACGGCCTTCTCGATTCTCAAGCCACGTGTGAGCGCTGTAATCGAGAGTGAAGTACGTGCGGGCAAGCTTCTGTTGAGCATTCCACTGGTTGATGTCAGCAACGCGTTCGTAATGCTCAAGCCTACCTTCAACATCTTCATGTAGGGCACCACTGAAACGATCCGGCACAAGTGGCTGAAGAAGTTTTACCTTGGCTGGATTGGAAACGGGGCTGCCTTGTATATCTTGGACCACCTGTGGCTGGCTGGCGGGAGTCATTGGCAGAGCTACGTAATGCTTGGTAGAATGTTCGTCGAAGGAAGTCAGCTCAGGAGAGAGGCCTAGCAACAAGCGACTGAAGCGGTGCACTGGTGTCGAAACAGGTGGCTGCGTGTCGGAACTTGATTAACAGCTCCCAGATGGGGTGTTGAGTATTGGCAGGCTTGCAACCCAGCGCCTCCATCAGTGTCGTGGTTCAACGTAAGCAGTTCACCGAGACGTTTAGTCCGAGAACCGACGGCGTGTATTTTTATGCGGGGGCCAAGAAAAAGACAGCTAAACAAAAGCACGTCGTCTTCTTCAGTGTCCCTTTTCACGAGAATGTGGGCGCATAAATCGTCTTCGTTCTCTGTTTCGGGCGCGGCAATATATACCTACAGGTATATACTACTAAACGTGTACGTAGTAACACAAAACAGGCCACACACAAACACGCATGTATACATACAGGAGCATACTAATGCTTTAACATTTTAGAACACACACTTTCATTATAAAAAGCAACGAAATGAAAGATGGCTAAAGATTACAACACTGAATCTACACAGCAGCCACATACATCCTTTTGTGTTCTTTGGAAGAGGCCGTAAAAATATCAAATTATTCGATTTATAGCTGCTTAGTAGGTGTAGGTAGTCTGTATTGAATCATTTTTTTCCTGTAGTTTGAACGCGGTGTTGGCACTAACCACTTTTCTATGTGCCTGGTACCGTAATTTGGAGCTTTATTATTCAAGTTAGGCAAGAGTAAGTTATTCGTGTTATGATAATGATGGTGTTTGTACATGGGACTCAAATAATATTGATACAAATTATGTGCAGGAAACACGCCATAATCGGTAAAGCAAGTTATCGTCGATACCGTGTAAGAAGCGTTGTATGTGTAGCGCAGCCATCTTTTTTAACAGAAAAATACATTCTTGATTGGTGTGTGTTGTGTTTACCAAAACAATTTGACAATAATCTAAATGTGATTGAAAACTGAACTATATAGTAAAAGTTCGGTACATGTGGAACTAATCTAGCGTAAATGGCCTATAACACAATTGATTTGCTTTATTTATTTATGACGTACTTAAAATCATTTTTCCTTGACAAGCTGGCGGAAAAGGTAACACCCAATCAACCAAAATTCTCTGTAATTTCAATAGTTTGGGAATATAACATAACATCTTCATGTGGAAAGATGCACTTGCTCTTGGGCCTGAAGATGACTGCATTTGTGTATATTCATTAAGTTTAATGCAGAACACTCCTCCAGAATCTAAATTGTATAGAAACATTGTTCTACTAGACCATGAATGTCATTACCATTGAAAAATATACTCGTGTCATCAGTGTAAACAATACACTTCGCCTCGGGGTTACTATTGATGATATAATTCAGGTAAATATTGGAAAGCAGGGGCCCCAAAATACTTTTCTGTGGTACACCAAAATGAACAGAGCTGGCCTTCGAGAAAATGTATTGATTTTCACAATTCCAGTTCTGTTGTATTAGTAAGTAGCATTTAATGAAATATAATGCGTGTACTCTAATTACGTAATAGCCTAATTTTTCCACTAAAATGTTATGATCAACCAAATGAAAAGCTTTCAAAACTTCTACACCATCTTTCTTTGAACTGCCGTCGTTTTTATAAGTAAGCCATAACAATCCCTCTTGCAATTTTTATTAGTAATTTTCTCCCAAGTCAGTGAGACTTATACCATATATCTTTAGACGCCCGCTACTATTTTGCTGTTGCCACTCGAATACTGAAAGTAACCTCACCTTAAATTGGTTGCCAGTTTCAAATGACAAGCCAAGCCACATCACCTCGTTTAAGGCAGGGTCAGCTCTGGGTGTGTGACGATCCTCGTAACCCCAGCATGATGAGATGCAGGAATCAAGGTAATATTTAGAGTTTTCGCGGAATCCCACTTCAATACGGTGTTTTCGACCTGTGCGTACACAAACCCTGAAAATAAGGTAGCAGTTTAAATGTCAAGCATGCTGTCAGCATAAGCTTCTCGCTCTTTACCACTTTTTTGGGAACAGACTTACCAAGAAAATACACGTAATGAACAAAGCATTCCAAACCATATTTTGCCCTGGGCTATTATTATTATTACACGGAAGATGTATTAGAGTTCATTCAAAACGCTTCTGTATCTTCGTGCGAGAGTGATGACCTCTTACTCTATTCACGTTAAAAAACGTAGAAGCATAGCGAAGTACGATCAACAATAATATTAATTGCTATTATTGTCCCCCTTTACAGGGCATACGTTCAAGAATGATAATTATAAACGATGCCTTAATGAAGGGAATCTAAGCCCATGGGCCTCCGGAATTTCTGCCTCCACTGAAAATGCGGCTGCCATGGCCAGGATTTTACGCCGCTTCATGCAGATGGGCAGTAGAGCACTGTAAGGATGGGGCGCGGCCCACCGGCTACGCCGGACCGGGTAAAAACATCGTTGGATTGCGCCAAGCTCAGACCATTGGACTTCTAACTCAGGTCAGGCTCCGGCCAGAGTGAAGCTCTTATTTGGTCTGGGTCTCAAACTTACTGGCATAATGGTGTGTACGCGCTAATTCAATGAGTTTTTTTTTTTTGTGGGGTTTAACGTGCTGAAGCGATCCAGGTCATGTGAGACGCCATAGTCAAAAGCTCAGGGTAATGTACAACACCTGAAGTGCATTACCATGCACTCAAGTTTGAAAGTAAAACACGTCTTGCTCTTTGCTCAGTTCATTTTCAACACATAATTTCGAGAAACTCTTAATAGTATTTTTCGCCATTATAGTGAATGAAGGACGCTTTAGCATCCCGTAGGAAAACGTTCAGCAGGCGGTACTCCTGCAATGGTACACTGCCTACATTGTCGTACATAAGATGTGCGCATTTGTACCAAATGAAGAAAGGAAGGAAGAAAAACCAGAGAGAAGGCAGGGAGGTTAACCAGGCACATGCCCGGTTCGCTACCCTACGCTGGAAGAACAGAAATGGGTAGCATAGAGATGAAAGATAGAGAAAAGAGAAGAGATAGACTAAAATTGCCAGTAACTGTGCTTACGCATATGCAGCGGTCGCACTACGCAAAAGACAAAGGCGTTCAGATAGGTCCAAATACCTCAGGAAACGCGCAAGAGCAAAAGGGTTCTGACTGTCCTTTAAGCCGACGAAAAACGAGGATAGTGCTCCAGCAGCAATCGCATAGGTAGTCGTGGGTTTTTGGGTTGTCGCAATGCGTCAGAAAGTTTTCGTCTCTCAGAGGCATATTGAGAAAAACGGCATAGCAGATGAACGATGCCTTCTTAGCAGATGAACGATGCCACACTCACCGTCACTTCTATCAGGTTTGTATATGTTCTTGTAAAAGCAACTCCCAAATGAAGCTGACTAAAAAGTGAACAAACCCTCCATTAAAACCTAGATCTATATCCACACTTTGTCGAAGTGAAGCGTTTGTACTTGGAGAAGCATGATGAGCATACGTATAGGCTTTACCTATACATATTTAACCAGCAATATGTGGAGCTAGCAAAACGGCCGCAAGCGCATAATGAAGGGCCCAATATACTCCAATGTAGCGTTGACGTGCACGCACGCTGCGAACAGCGACGATACGCAAGCAAAACATGAGCACTCTATAGTCTGACGTCAGGCGCAACCAGCGTCCCTCGGCGCGGCCCGACGGCAACCAGCGCGATTGGCGGCATGCTGCATTTCGCTCCAATGCATAACGCACACAACACCAGGTCTCCCTATTTCGTGAGAGAGGGGTGCCGGACACGATGAAACGCGCACTCTAAATCGAAATTCGGCAAAGTTTGACTAACTGCAGTCGTTAAACCAAAGGACGAACGGTTAGTCCAACAGAAACTAAATGCTTGACAGTGCGTGGCGTGCGCAAACGCCCGGCAGTGAAGGGACCAACGGGGAGGGCAACTGCGCCAAGATCGCCTTTTGTCGATGCTGTACTGCAACTGTTCGGCCTGGACGGCGATCATGAAAACAAGTTAAATAAGCTATGTGCCAGAAAGCGAAGCACTATAAAACGAATAGAAAACTGTTACGAGAGGCAAGTAGTAGAACACGCAGTCAGAGCACACAGCAAGTACACTTGCGTTTCCACCATGCCGGCATGAGCCGGCCGAAATCAAGTGAAAGTTGCCGAACACAGGCAACGCAGACAACTCGCTTCAATGTGCTGAATTAGGTTGAAGTACGAATAACACTGACAACGCAAATAAGAGCAAGCTGTTCATTAGCGTTCGTGTACCCGCACAGTGACCACAACTTCAAAGCGATATATAGAAAAAGAAGGCTTCGTACGTCATCGGTATCAAGCTGGCTGCCGGTGTGAGTGCTTTGCTGGCACACGCTAAGGAAACGTCGCATACAATTTCTTTCACAGAAAATACAGTCCCCTGAATTGTTGCTCAGACAATTTTATGCCTTTTTCTCAATGCGACAATTGTTATCAAACTGCGTGTAGTCGATCGCGGAAACGACTAATCGTGCAGCTGGCGGTAGACAGCGAATGACTTACCAGCACGATGAAAGAACCGTGCCTGCGAACGGTCTCGTCGCTGTAAGTATACAGATATCTACATTACTCCGTAACACACCGCGAACATGTGATACTTACCTATTGTTCATTTGTGACTATAAAATAACCACAACGCAAATTCTACGTGAGTCGCAAGTTGCGATTGCCGGTGGTCGTTTAGCCGTACTTGTCATAAGCCTAGCGACGCCATCGGCAAGCCGACACAGAATGGTATCACCAGGATGCCTAGCTGCTTCGCCGGCTTTCCCGCATAAGCGCCCCTGCTATGTTTGTGTTTGCAGACTCCTGCACCAGCAGTGCGAATTCGGCCAACATGATCGAATGTCAGCTGATAACTTGTATTTTCTGACTGTAGGATTGTTGAATATTAAATGGATCCTTTATAAAACATCGGTGCACTTCGGTGCTACGAATTATTCCATGTAAATTTGTCATGTTACGGTGTCAATGCTTAATGTTTTTAAGCCGAGTAAAAGTCGCCACTAGCACTACAAGAGAGGTCAAAATACTATGCTCTATATATATCCGACAGTTCATAATCTGTAATGCAGCGTGGGTGGTCTGTGTTTGCGGTGTTTTATTGTAAAATAATAATGCGTATGTACATATATATATGCGTGTGTTGCATAACCGATATACTGCGTTCGTTAAAACTGAATTAATAAGAATAAACATAAAATATACTCCGCAAATGCAGTGTCTTTTTTTTGCCATTCGTCCTGACGGTTCAACTGTTACTCCCACTGGAGAATTCTACAAGGACCAACAATTAAACCAAGTGCAGTAAGTGCTAGGGGGTAACAGTTGAATCCTTGCAGTTGCTCCCGCAGTTAGTCCAAAATTGCTTCGAAATCTGCGGCAGCGCATTTAGTTCCCTAAAGAATTAATGGCATACGCCACTTGAGCCCTTTTCAGCTTTGAATGCGCATGCAACAAAGCAACGCAGCGCGGCGTGCGTCTGCGAGTAGGACCAGCGCATGGCGTGGCAACGCTGGCTTGACGCGACGAAATGAACACCGGTGAGCACGCTCACCACGTCAAGTCGAAATGTATTGGCGCCTAGACTGTGGCATGTAGCAATGTTCATATACGACACGCATATCATGATTATCATCTTTGCATGAGTCACACACCTTCGTCATCTATTGGCCTGAAGTAATGCCCAATTTGGCATGTGTGAAGCTAGCGAAACAGCTGTGAGTGCATGGTAAGTGTGTCATGTAGTCATATTGTTACATGACACGCATGTAGTGATTATCATGTTGGGTGTGTCGTTTACCTATGTCGTCCGTTGACATCGCGTAATACCGAGTTTAGTACATGTGAAGCTAGCGAAATGGCCACGAGAGCGTCATCAGCGTAGCATTTAGTGATGCTGTGACATGACACGCATCTCATGTTTATCATGTTTGCACCAGTATCATACCTTCGTTATTCATTCACGTCACGTAATACCAAATTTTGTATGAGTGAAGAGAGCGAAATGGCCGCCAGCGCATCATGAGCGCGGCATGTAGTCGTGTTCTTACATGAAAGGCCTCTCATAATTATCACATTTGCACCAGTCACATACCTTCGTCATCCATTGACGTACCGTAATACAAAATTTGGCATAAGTGACGCTAGCGAAACGGCCGTGAGCGCATCACGAGCGTGGCATGTAGTCATGTTGCCAATGTTTGAAGCACAATCTGTATACATTGCTAAATTGACTTCAGAGGCATCAGTTTTTTTCGGGGTGGAGCAGCGGCGGAGACAGGGAGCTGCATTGCAATATTCGTATGGCAATTTCATTTGCTCAAAGAATCGGACAAAATGGCACATGGTTAGTTTTTTTTTAGTTATGCACTTATTGATTCGCATAAGTAAATGCCAAGGGAATAAAGTGTTCAAACCCGCAGATATATTTATCTGCTTATGGAAGTTATGAAGGACTCATATAGAACCAGTAGATAAAATAAAGTCGTTTAAAGGATACCATAATACGCTAAAAATAGCACTTACTACAACACATATAAAACTTTCCACAGCAACACACCGCCTGCGGTTAATTCGAGAACAACCACTGCGATTAACGCTATCCGAAAGCATTTAACCGCTTATTACACTATTCCTTGATCATCATTATGTGAGGCACAATGTGAAGCTTGTGAAATAAACACCGTATAGAAAAAATGAAACGTGTGTCAAACCTCAACAAGAGGCACGAGCATGTGACGAAAATAATTGCGAAAGGCTTCAGTGAAGCATCGGGTTCAAGCCACTGCTGAACACCAGGGAGCACACGTTTCAGCTTTCGCTGGTTAACCATTTGTACGGAGTGCTTCGGCTGGTAATTTTTTCTTGCTCTCGTCACTTATTGATGCTCATGCAGATTCGTATTATAACCTTGAGGGAA